AAATTAGAAGTCATGATTATAATGAAACATCTACCTTACTAGAAGGTCAAATAATATTTCTAACCAAACACATCCAACTTGATGTGATTTCATTCTTTTAAGATGAATTATTTTATTATATATCAGTGTGTTATATTCAATATATGATACAATTTCAAGTTGTGATTCATTTCAAATTTATAAACCAAGCTTAACATACTTCAAGTGTTGTAAAACACTTCTAGATGGCCATCTATTATTTAATATTGTGAAGTGTGTTGTAGCCAAAACAATTATTTCTTTAGAAATATTACACAGAACAATTCTCAGACATTAGAAGATTTTTCAAATATTTAAAAGTCAACATACATAAACCCAAAATTTCCAAGTTATATTTTGGAAACTTTTATAATTTCATATAGTTATTATTTTTTTTTATAAAATAGCTTAAGAAATTTATATACAAAAAGTTATATTTCTATGTCTGATTAAAATAAAAAAGAAGAAAAACTACATATGTGAGCTGAAGAAAAAAAATTTAACAATGCTTTCCAAGCTTACTCATTCATAACACAACCTGGAAAGATGACCAAATTAGTAGTTTCATTTTACTAATAAAAAACCATGTTTGATTAAAAATAAAAAGAAAAACTACATATGTGAGCTGAAGAAAAAAATTTAACATTGCTTTCCAAGCTTACTCATTCATAACAACCTGGAAATATGACCAAATTAGTAGTTTAATTTTACTGATAAAAAAACAGATTTACATTTTCTTCCACTGAAAATGTATTTCTGATAGGTACTTACCTCCTTTCACACAAAGATATCTCAATCTTCTTTCTGACCTCTAAGCATTGCTACAAAATTTTTTCTCAATGCACCAGTCTATATACCTCACCAATTTCTCACCACAACTGAACACGTACATGTACTCTCCACCAACAGTATTGCACAACCTATACTGGTGCAGCTAGCTCCCCTCTGCTATTCCCATTCAATCCTCACTTTCAAAAAATGGCAGACTCTAAAGAAGAAGACCAGCAGGGGGAGGAAAGGTGGGAAATGTGTGAGGTAAGATCAGTACCTACTGGAAATACATTTTTGGGGTAAGAAAATATTAACTTCCAACACAGTCTTACCTCCTTTGACACAAAGCTAGAATACCACATTGTAAAGGTGGAGGGGCTGGTGTAGGTGCTCATCATTGAAACCACATGGAAAGCAACTGCCCAGAATGAATGGATGTACTTCAAGATGAAACCGAAGTATACATTTGGGGTACCACACTAAATTTGGAACAGGTATGCTCTTTGCCCTTGAAACAGAGAATGAAGCTGATATAGGTAGAAAGAAAAGAATGTACACAAGTGCAATTTGTTCTGAGAGATGCAATCCATTGTAAAATATAAATTGAATGAACTAAATAGATACCCAACCTCAACCGGACAATTAAGTTTCATAACTCGCCCTTGGCATTAGGAGATTGAGGATCAAAACAAATACAGTTTAACATAAACATAGTGGCATGTGTTACATATACTTATTAACCCCAACCATAAGTAAACAGAGTGTCATACATTAAACAACTGGAATTATGAAAAGGAAGTTAGCATTCAGCCAAAACTGGACAAACTCCCAATCCACTATAAAAGCAAGTATAACAAACCACACCAGGCATTACAGGGTCATGGTGTTGCCTCAAATCAACCATAAGAACAAGGCAATATCTGTAACCAGTATTATAAGCAGAAACCGTAACTAACCCAATCGTAAATGCAGGGAAGAGACATTCTGCATGTGGAATTACAAAAAGGACATGCAACATTCACTCAACCATAGGAACAGTGTACATACATATCATTGCCAGTATTACAAGGCAGATGAACTCCCCCGTAGGAGCAAAGAAAACACCTCCTACAACCAGAAGTAACAAAAAGAGCGGCCTCTACTGCACACAACCGTAGAAACAGGGCGAAGTCATCCCTAACCCAGTATTACGAGGATGATCCCACGAGGGCTGGTCCTGCTAAAACTGACAGTTGTCCACCTGGGAAAAAGCATCTAGAGGAAATGGAAGGAAGAAACCGGCTTTGCCCTCTTCTCACCGAGTGGATAATCATGAGCATGTATGGTAAATTAAAATTCTACAACACATACATACTAGTGACTGGGAAGTGGTAAGAACTTCCTTGCTCCACTGGAAGAAAAAAGTGGGGAAGTAAATATGATGGGGAGTCCAGAGGAACGTCACACCATCAAAAGTGCAATAGGTGTCTGCAATTCTCTATTTTGAAAAGCAGACTGACCCCAACTTATTCAAAGGGTCAGCAGGGATGGGCAGAAATCTCCTTCTGCTTTACACATGAAGTCCATGAATGATGGTCCACCATTGAGTGAAAGTTGCTGATATCTAGAAATATATGTATATACCAATGGGTATGCCACCAGTAGTCTTGCAGAACACCCCATTTCTACAGTGAGCATTATAGCATAATCAGTATATAGTACGAGTTTGAGCCAAAGCATACCTGACCAGGCAATACCCAGGAGAGAGTGGGATCCCATTATCAGTGGTAAAAAACAGGATCTCTGAAAATAAAATATAAATGAAAGGAAGTTATAAGGCTTACCCCAGTCAAAGATGAATGGATGTGTCTAAAATAAACACAGGAGGGTAATGATATACACATGAAAATACTGCTAGATTGTGCAGATAATGAGTGATGAAGGTATTGGGAATAGTCCATATTTTGGCATGAATGATCCTCCAACAGAAGGCAAAGGCAAGCAGCCAAAGACATGGTGATATGACAAAGTTGATGAGAAGAAACACTGTAGAGATAGCGACCTTTGATGGATAAGTCCGAATACTCCAGCCTAACAAGTTGACAAACCCAATCAGTGAGTGTGACAGAGGATAGAGCAGATCACGGGAAATGGAAGGGTTCCAGAGAATAAAGAGTCAGGAATGTGAACTTCGAAAAGAGGCAGGATGTGCCACATAACACCTTAAGGAGCAAACCAGACAAAAAAAGTCAATTAGGATTGGAATAGGAGTACAGGTGGGAGATGGAAGTTAAGGAAATGGGTGTGAAAGCCAAACCACCTTCACAGGCAGCCTAGGTCTTAGTGAGGAAGGACTGGTCGGGATATAAGATGACACAAAGAGAAATGGTAGAGGAAGTGGGCAACAATAATGGCATAAACATCTGATCAACAACATCAACAAGCAAGGAGGAGAAAAAAAAAGGTCTTGAGGGAGAGATGATACATGTAGACAAGGGTTCAAAGGGAGGATGGGAAAGGGCATAAAAGACCACAATGAGATCCCAATTTGGTAAATCATAGAAACAAGTAGGATGTATGACATGAAAGAAGTGGAAAGGAGGAAAATGACATAGAAAAACAAAACGTTATGAAATGGAAGGTTGTTGGAGTAGAGACCGAGACAGTGGTATGGACAGGGGAGGTTGTAGAAGTAATAGTCGGAACAATGGGAACCATGGTTGCACCAACCAATACGGAGTCACCGGTAGGACTACAGATGGATTAGTTTGGATTAGGGATAGCACTCTGGAGGGGAGTCAAATAGGAGGATAGGCATAAATTTGAAGACTCTTCCAGAGTTAGCAGGTGTTGAATGGGGTCCAAAAGGACGGAAGTTTGGTGTAACAAGTGGTGGTGAAGACATAGATGAGGTGTCCCCAGCTGGGAACACACCCACTAAACAACCCATGAATCGAGGGATCACTCCATGGGGAGAATCCTATTGGGATGAGATAACTGATCCACAACTAGATTCAAGGCACCAGGAACATGGCAAGATAAGACCACAATGTAGTGACTGTGGGATCAGAAAATGAGATCCATGATCTGAAAGCAGAGAGACCTGGAATTGGTACAGCGTTGCTTGGTGATAGAAGTTACCACCGTAGAGTTGTCGGAATGTACCATAACCACCCTCCCCTCACAGGACAGGAAGGAAGTAGGAAAAAGCTAGAGAATGGTGATGTATAAACAATGCTGTGTCAATCAAGAAAATGAAGAATAAGCAGGAATAGCAGAGAGAGCCAGATGTGGCAATATAAGTGGCACAATACTATTGGTGGAGAGTTCTCACATGCTATGTACATGTTCAATAGTGGTGCAAACTTGGTGGGGTACATTCAGGTGGGTTGAGCATGAAAATTGTTTTAGCAATGCTTAGAGGGCACTACAAGCTGAAGAGATAAGTCATTAGACAAAGTTGGACATGTGCGTGCATGTAT